GAGCTTAGAAAATTTGACACTGACAAGACATATTGAAATCAAGAGGAACAGGTGAAGGCAGCGCATAACATGCCTAACGAGATTGTGTAAATCGTTAACAGATCAGGGACTAGGAGAAAAAACGAAAAGATAATATTTACTAAGAGCTGACAGGAAGTTGTTGAGAATCATAATCGCTTGCGTCCTGGAGGGCATGGCACATAGAAGAAGAAGTAATTTTTAGTTCAATCCCTAGGTCATGCAGTTTATACTCAGTGGAAACAGGACGCACAATAACTAAGTAGTACTAAATAAGTACTAAATAAGATAATCCCTATACATAGGCAGCGGAATGACAACGATGATCTACTCCTGTAGATTAAATAAAGAGTCCAGTTCGAAATATCCTGGAGGTTACCTGCATCAACAAGCACCTGGTGAAGGCCAGAGTGTAAAATGACCGAAACGTTGTGATAAAAACAACAAAAATGAGGATAATAGTCTGCATGTAAATAAGATAAATAATGATAACTCCTAATCCAAGAAATTCAGAGATAAACTAGTTCTTTTTATTTTAAACCCTGATTACATAATGTATTCTTTCTCCTCTAATAATCTTCTATTTCTGATGACGGATTGCGTTCAGTTTAATAAATATCTATAGAAAACTGTGGACGAATTTTTATTTTCTCACCCAAAGATCTCTGGTAAAACATTTCGTAAAAAAAGAGTGATTAGATCATATGTTCAAAGTTTATGAAAAAAAAAACCTTGACCATCATCAGTACGTGATGTATTTTTATTTACTGAATCTATATCTAAAAATCTGACTTCCGTCATCCATCCGTCCATCACATCCTCTAAAATAGCCATACATTGACTGATTTGACGAAGAAGTGGAAACAGGTAAGCGGTTACAAGGTACAGTTGGTTTACTAGGGTGCGTTTTACCAGGGTACAATGAATTCCATTAATTTTTTGGAAAAATTAAGTTTTATTATTTAACATACAAAATGCTCCCACTATTTATTATTATTTATACTTATTTAATAAAAATGCAATATATACAAAATATTTGCATAGCATCTCATTAAGTTTTCATATACAATAATCCACTTTCCAGTTCACTCTGTGTTTGCTAGAACTATAAACACAAAACGAGGCTAAACGCTTCAAAAAGTTGGAATCTGGCTCCAGAAAGAATGGACAGTTGTATGTTGCATGCTCAAGAGTAAAATATTTATATATTAAATAAGGATTTATTCTTCTTCGCTGTTAAAAAGAATAAAGAAAAACAAAAAATTTTCTTAAAAAATATTGTTTAGCATGAAGTCCTATATAATTAAATTAAATTAAAGAAATTATTAAGCGGCGAAATAGGGTTTTTGACAAAGTATTTTTCCAATTAAATCAGCTTATTAAAATTTCATAGATTGGTTTGCGAAGTTGAACGAGACGTAGAGTTCGTAAATCGTGACAAAAAAAAATTGTTAGCGATAACTTCAACAATACTAAATACTGTAAAGATTGCAATAAAATTCTAGTGAGAGAAAATTACTTAAAATGTACGCAAGCGGTTTTTATGATCACTCCTTTAACACCGCTATGACAAAACCGAAATGAATGAAAAACTCCATATAAAACTGGTTCCAAAAAACTGGATTTTTATTTCCCATTTGGAAAATCTTATAAGAAGAGTTACTACTGTCCAACACACAAATACACTTATACTTGAGTGTGTTAGTGAGTATTAAGTGAGTGAGTGTGTATACGTGAGAGAGAAGGCTAAATCTAAACTAAATGTGAGAGCGACATGGGGTTGTGAGCAATTTGATATGTATGCGTTCGCATACGTATAGATGTATAATGTGAACTCGTTTGCGTCAGTGAGCGTGTGTAGAACAGATGAAGACATGCAAATCGAATAAGGTTAATAAGTGCAAAATATGTCAGGGTGAAGCTAATAAAAACTATTTCCTACAATAGCTGATAATATTAACGTTATTCATAATGACAAAAAACTTCATGAATTTTGGATAGTTTCTCCATCAGTTTTGATCCATGTCAGTCAATTTTAATAAAACATGTTCCAGCATCTGTTTTAAGTCAAACAAAAATACAAATTTGAATGTCACGGGACTGATTAGTTCATCGAGCAGTCACAGGTAACGTTGCATTTAATAGTAGTTGAATATAAGTTTCTAACAGTCGATGATGCTGTAGCAATAAGAGAGATGGATAATTTAATGGATCAGAGGTGTATTATTGAAGTAAATTGTTATTGAGTGACTTCCGTTGGTCCGGAAAACGGAAAAACGGTGTTATACCTCTATATCTTTATATATATATATATATATATATATATATATATATATATATATATATAGTAAAATGACGTTGAAATGCAACTGATACCTCTATATCTTTTATATATATAGATATATAGATATATATAGATATATATAGATTATATATAGATTATATATATATAGATTACTGTAGTTCTGCCAACAGCAAGCAAAATATTTATCCTCCCGATGATGGCCATTTCGGTCGAAACTAGTCGAGGAATCTAAATGGAATAATAATAAAAAAAATGAAAGAATATTAATCTACAACCCAGTGTGTCTAATGATTGCAATTTTTAATTTTTATTTTCTTATTGTTCAATATATATATATATATATATATATATATATATATATATATATATATATATATATATATAAAAATGAAGTTGAAAATGTAACTGGAACCTTTAAGAATATTTGTTTAGAATGATTTTAACGGTTTCACAGTTCTATAATTTCCAAAATTTTAATTGAGATTTATAGAAGTGTGGCTATGTCATGATGTCTCGCATATATATATATATATGTGTGTGTGTGTGTGTGTGTGTGTGTGTCTGAGTGAGAGAGAGAGAGAAAGAGAGAGAGGAAGGAGGTGTGGAACAATTTTGGGACAGGCGTCTTGTCATTTTCCAAAAATTCTAATGTTTGGTCATTTTGGTGAAATTTTGTCAAGTCAGTCAGACCAAGGACTCCCACGTATGCCATAATTCTCGGGTAGGACTATGCGATTATGCGCTCAAGTGCCAGAGTGGTTAGAGCGTTCTTTTCCGACCATGATGTCCGGGTTCAAATCTCGCCATTGTCAATTTGTGTGGAAGATGCCTTCTTGATTTTATCGGCCTGTGGCACATTTGGAAAGTTCCTGAAAACCGTCTGTGAACGTACACCTTGAAACACTGCATGGTATTGCGTCGAGAATGTAATTAACATATCCGTCGTTGCGGAATCCAAAATGCGTGCATTTATTTGTTTTAAAATTTCTTTCTTTAGCACTAATTATTTGGTCCGTCAGTTCGACATCTAAAAATTATTTGATTCTTTTTTTTTTTTATTGGAATTCTTTCATTTCATCTTTACATTCGTTCTCTGTACAGGAATAAATTCGTTTCGGAAATTAATCCTTTTTATTTTCAATCCTAATTGCATAACGCAGTCTTTCGACTCTAATTTTCTTCTATTTTTATGATAGACTTAATAAATATCTATAGATAGTTGTGTCTGAATTCTTCTCTTCTCACTAAATTATCCATATTCATACATTTGGTTCAACGAGAGAGTGATTAGATTAATGTGCCCAAGGTTTATGAAACTAACCCTGGCCTTCATCAGGACATAATAAATTTTTATTTACTTCCACTTTTAAGTTTGAGAGAAATTTGCTCAAAATATACTTCGTTATGGCAAACCACAATAAGTGGAAAACTTCAAATAAAACTGATTCTAAAGAAATGGATTTGTATTTTCCACGAGAAAAAATTGAAAAGAGGGAATTGGCTAATGCGCTCAAAGAGTATGCTTCTCCGTGTTTTGTTTGTTTTACACTTTCTTTCTTTTTTTCACTAATTATTCGGTTCTTCAATTCTATCACCTGCATCAAAAAAATTATTTGACTTTTTTCTTGGATTTTTTTTTTTCAGCTCATCTTCGAACTCGCTGTCGCTACAGGAATTTCTCCATAAATTCATTTCGGAACTTAATTCTTTTTATCTCAAATCATGGTTTCTGCCCAAATCTGAAAAGAAATTTTGAACAATATTCCAACTATTATGAACACTCTCTTTCTGGGAAATAATTTCATCTTAGTCTTTTGTTTTTTTATTTGTTTTTTGGTTAATTTGTTTTGTTTTGTTTGTTGTGTTTTGTTTGTTGTTTTTAAAAAATTCGATCTTGAAATGGAAACACATGACCATAAGCGCCAATGGATTTATCCAATCTTCTTGCAATTTGCAAATGCAATAAATACTGCTTTACGAGCCAGTGTTGTATTAAATCAAACCCACATTTTTTAGTTCATTTTTTTTTTTATTGATTGATTCGTTTTCTACGTTTTATTGATTAATTCGTGTCCCCCCCCCCATTGCAGGATATTTAAAGCCAGAACACATTTTTAGACTGTAAGATTTTTTTTTTATTTTTGAGATAATAATTGTTTTATGATATAAGTCTTAATAATTAACCCCTAACTGGACAGAGAACATGTGGATTCATACCTTTCTCAAGGGTATTTGCGCGTAAGTGAAACCCCACAGGAATTAGAACTCGGCTCTCCGATTAACAATTCCGGGACATTACCCATTACACCACGGGCACATCTAATCTTACAGCACCTGGTATTCCCAAGCGGTCACTCATCTAGGTACTGACCAGGTTCGACGTTGCTTAAATCTTAATTCCAATTCGACTTGACCAAATTAGGTATCACCAAATTAGTTCTCGTGTAACATGCTTTAACTGAGATTTTCGCTCTGGAACTGGTAATTCTGTCGTTCACATTTCATTCTGGAGAGTTCTGAGTCTGGATTAAATTATTAATACAAATTAATTCAATTAGATAATTAGATTTATCATTATATAGTGATATTAAAGAGATTTTTTCTGTAGTGGCCATAAGCGGAGAGAATCGATGTTTTGAAATGTTTCTAGTATATTCAGTTATAGATGAAATTAATTTTAGATAGATAGATAGATAGATAGATAGATAGATAGATAGATAGATAGATAGATAGGCAGTGATTCTCAGTTCAAACCATACAACTGTTCATCATCATCTTCAACAACTTGGAAAATTTCCTAAACTTGGAAATAGATAGATAGATAGATAGATAGATAGATAGATAGATAGATAGATAGATAGATAGATAGAATAGGCGGAGGATGGTACGAAAGGAAAATAGCGATAGCCCCGCCTCCATTTCATAGAAGTTACTTATTAGGAAAACAAACCCTGAAGGTAAATTATATCTAAATAATCACTACTGGACACAGACAATAGAACGCACATTCATATTTATGCGAATACTAATAATTATGCCATTCTTCTTATGCCGTATCTCTTAGATCATGACTCTCCATAACTTCCTATCCTTTGTAGCATTAAGTTATGTTTCTACTCTTATTATCCTCCCCTCCCAGTTTCAGTTCTGTCATTCATTCCCATATTTTCATTCTAACTACTTGCTGCTTCCCTCTGTCTCTTTACTTTAGTTTACCTTGTGAGTGTTAGTTTTTATAAGCCCTCTTTTCTATCAGGTCATCCCATAAGTTCTATCCGAATTTTAACTTTTTGTTAAAATGAACGAAATTTAAAGAGTATTTTATAATGTCTAATTGAGCTGAACATTATTTTTATGTTTAGATGCATTTAAACTGGTCAAATTTTATTTCAGAGAACAATAAAATTAAATTTTGTTTGATTAAAACCCTGCTAACATGGAATCATTTGAGGCACATAATGCTTTATGAGTTCAAGAAAGGAAACTCAGAAGCCGAAGCGGCTAGAAACATTCACATAAACTTATGGAGAGGAATGTGTGAATGAAAGAACTTGCAGAAGATGGTTTGCAAAATTCAGAGGTGGAGATTTCACCCTTGAAGATGAAGATCGAACCAGACGTCGAGTTGAGTTTGATGAAAAACTTCTTGAAGCAGCCCTTGATGAAAATCCTGCTTTATCAGTTGAGGAATTGGCAGTGATTCTCAGTTCAAACCATACAACTGTTCATCGTCATCTTCAACAACTTGGAAAATTTCCTAAACTTGGAAAATGGGTGCCTCATGAATTGTCTGAAAACAACCTCAAATCCCGAGTTGACATCTGCTCTTCTCCATTCTCGCCAACTTGTTTCACCTTTTTTGGATAGACTTGTGACTGGTGACGAAAAATGGATCTTTTATCGAAATGTTAAGCGTCGTAGACAGTGCCTTGGTAAAGGGGAAGGACCCCAGCCACAACCGAGAAGGGAACTTCATGGGCAAAAGTTTCTTCTTTCAATCTGGTGGGATCGCCAAGGAATAATCCACTTTGAATTCTTACCACCTAATGCAACAATTAATGCTCAAATATACTGTCAGCAATTAGAGCGTTTTAAGCAAGCTTTGGGGGAGAAAAGACCTGCTCTAGTCAATTGAAAAGAGGTGAGGTTTCATCAGGACAATGCGCGACCTCACACAGCAAGAATCACGTCACAAAAGATCGAAGAACTTGGTTGGGAGAAAATTCCTCATCCACCTTATGAGAATAAGGTGGATGAGGAATTTTCTTGCTCCTTCAGACTACCATTTGTTTCGTAGCTTACAGAATCATTTGGAAGAAACAGCTTTTGTAACACAGGAAGAGGTTCAAACTGACATTTGTGAGTTCTTCGAATCAAAGCCAAAAGAATTTAACAGTAATGGAATTAGTAAGCTTGTTAATAGATGGAAGGAAGTCATAGATAATCAGGGAAAATACATTGTTGATTGAATCTGTAATTAAATGTAACATTTTGTCACTTGTTTTCTTTATTCAAAATTCGAACAAAACTTATGGGATGATCTGATAATTTTGTATCCCAGAAAGTTCACCTTTTTCTGTTTTTTTTCCATTTTCCCTAAAACTTCCTTGTTGGTCATATGCTCTGTCCAAGATATTCTCATTATCCTTCTATAACACCCGAGGATTACCCTCATTACACCTGCAATGGAATGCACGACTAACTAACCAACTATCACTGTATAATGAATGCTCTTGCCAATGATTAAAATGCAGTTAAAGTTAAGTTAGATAAAAATTTTAAAAATACTACTTAACTGAATGATGGTAAAAATAACGTCCAATAACAACTGAAGAATAAATCGTTGTTTTCGGGTTCGAAATTATTGGAAAATTTCCCATCATCCAACTGCAACCTTTAATGTTAAAAATACGATTATTTATGAAGGTAATTGTTGAAGCTTGAATAAGCATGGAATAATAATAATACAACACAAAATGTACGTAACAAAATGTATTGAAATAATGAGAAAAGGTACACAATATTTACAGGTAGTTTTGGTATATTCTTGGGAAGACTGTTCCTGCAGAATGGGTTGACTAAGTCGCAGTCGGGCAGAGTCTCTGGATTCGATCTCTTAATCTTCCGTCGTCTTCCGGTACCAACCCATATTTATATGGTCGGTACTCCACTTATGTAAATTAGGTGTATCATACACAACAGTAATGATTAACGGACACCATATATTCGACATTTAATTGTTGTTGTTTTTTTATTCCGATGTTCTAACCACTGACAACAATTATTTTCCTTGCTTGTTTCTTGGCGTATACAGGGTGAGCAGAAACTCCCTATTTAAATTTAAGTTCTTAATAACTTTATTAATTATTGTTCGATTTTCATAAAAAAACATTTTTTTATTTTAAGCAGTATAATAATAGAAGGGTGCAGGGTTAAAATTCTACATCACCCACTGGCATATTGTCTACCAGTGTTTGTAATCGTCTGGGTATCTCCTCGGACATTTCCTGAACATTTTGTATATTTTCCTCCAGTCTGGATGTTGAAAGACGACCGCATCTGGGAGTATTTACCACAGATCCCGTACTCATTAGCTTACTCATTCCAGTTTCTGATGGTCCATAAACACCGTGCCACCATCTCTGCATTTGTACCCGGACTTCCACACGTTCATGCAGTATCAGGCCTAGAGTCATTCTGGGTCAATCTGAAATAAAAAGAGAAATTAGCAATAAAATTCTACCACTTTCGGGATCACAATATATTTTGTTTCATGCGGTGATATTAACAAAAGTTATAAGTAATTTTCAACACGGACTTTCTTTCCACCCACCATAGACAAAGGGAGATAACAATTGCAGACCTGTTTATCGAAGTCTTCCCGCTGTACTCTGATATTCTTCTTTCTGTATCCATTAATGCCCTGACAAGATAGCACCGGAGACATTGCAGTGCCGAGAGAAGAACCGGGAGTGGGGTGGAGAGTAGCAGTACGAAGTAGAAAGGTTTATCAAGGCCTGTGAATGGGGAGGAGAAACAGAGAGCAGCTCGATCTGGCTCCAGGATCAGGTGCGCCATCTACAAGCCCAATCTGAGCTGACGGATTGGTAATTGATATTGTTATTTGTTCTGCTTTTACCGCGCCGTAAATTAATGAATGTTGTCTACTAGTCCATAAATAGCGCATGCGCATTGAGTGACAATCAATAAAACGCCAAGTATCGTTTCAGAATCTCGTCAGATCATCAGGACGTGATAGAAGCTGAGGTAAACGGTAAGCATTGTACAGATATGAAAAACAGAAATGGAGGAGGGTGTGCAATGTAGAAACTAGGGCATTTTTAGTGAGTGTTTTTTTTTTATTATTCTTTTATCATTGTTCTTTTTGTTCTAAGACTTTCTGCAATAGTGTATCGCATATCAACCTAAGCTCTTTACTATGTAAAAGAAAAAAAAACTAGAGTAAAAATAGAAAAAGATTGTTTGAACGCAAAATAACAAGTTTGGGCCAATACATGATCTAGTTCGTTTAGAATAATTCATTTTAATTTCTAAAACTTTCTCTGAAATATTTATTAGGCAAATAATCGTAGGCACGTCAGTAAATTCCCAGCCTAATGAAGAACAAATCATTTATTTTGCACAACATATCCCCTTTCTTGCCAATGCGTTTAATTCAGAATATTGCTACCATTGCTGTAAGAAAAATGCGATGTTTCAGCAAAATAATATTCAGCATACTCTGCAAAATGCTGGATATCTTCCCTGAGACAATTGTTAAATATGTCTTCCATAGCAGCGGTTCTCAACCAGTGACCCATGCACCACACGTGGACCATCTGATACTGAGCCGCACAAAAAAAAAAACTTTTTTTTCAATTTTATTTGCTATTGCGGCCTTTTTTTGTGTTTTGTTAGTCACGTGACCGACACCGACCGCCTCACCCTGGTCTGTGGGAAAATTACCTTACTTGACATCAGTTCCGTGGCGGAAAACTGTTTGGGACCGCTGTTCCATAGAATATGTATATGGCCTGATAGGGGCGACGCCTAACTTGTTCAGTTAGCCCGCCTACACTTATTGCTCTATTGCGTCAAGATATGCTAAAGGCATGAAATAATTTACTGCGGGATGATAGTCACCATATGAGAGTAGAAATCTGTGTTACCGTTCAAGAAGCACACGTAGTTTATTAATATAAGGTTAAAGTATTGTTGATGAACATCTTATTTTGTAACCTGTCTGCATATTGACCGGTATATGTGATCATTTACTGTAACACTTCTATCTATCTATCTATCTATCTATATATATATATATATATATATATATATATATATATATATATATATATATAAATACATACATATATATATATATATATATATATATATATATATATATATATATATATATATATTCATGTAATTATTCACACAAAACAAATGCAAAAGTTAATGATTTAATTGGCGAAATCCATCATCTTGTAAACAATTCAAATAAAATACAAAAACCTCGAATCCGTTATGAATGGAAAAAGGATCCCTGTTTCCATAAATTTCTGTCGTATTATTCGAGGTTTTTACTATTATTTGAATTGTAGAGACGATGATGGTAAAAAATTAAATCATTATTCTTAAATTCGAAATTTTTTGTGTGAATAATTATGAATTTGTAAATTGATTGCACGTTTATCGTAATATATATATATATATATATATATATATATATATATATATATATATGATAAAAATATAGTTTTAAAAATACTATATTTAAAGTTAAAATTGCTCAATATCAGAGAGCTTATGTGAATATAAAAGTGGACACAGAGGTCAGCACCAAGCGGCAAGAGTCTGTTTCATACTTGAACGCAATCTTTGCGCTAGACCATTTCAAACATCCAGCTTCTCAAAGAATAACAGGATGCAGGTAAAGGAATTATAACTACCACACAGACACCACATTTGTTTCTTGATAATCACTGAGATGATCGAAAGTAGTTGAACAAAACAATAATACAACATGAACTTGAACCACAATTTCAGTACAAAACTCAACAACTTATTCGGAAATTGGACCTCATCAGACTTCGTCTATTCATTTTAATCAAAACTTGTGTGTGTGTGTGTGTGTGTGTGTGTGTGTGTGTGTGTGTGTGTGTGTGTGTGTGTGTGTGTGTGTGTGTGTGTGTGTTTAGCGTATTGGGCAGCAGAAAGCTTAAATCGAGGACTAGCATAATGAAAAATATCCAAATGTTGCATAGTTTTTGTCTTTATTCTATCCCGAACCTAAATCCACTATACGAAGCCTAGAACGGCTCATGATCAAACATAATAGATATTCGCTGTCTGTTATATTTAACAATATATGTTTGAATATATATATATATATATATATATATATATATATATATATATATATATATATATATATATATATATATATACACACACACACACATATATATATATATGTATGTGGTAGGGATGGTGTGTGTGTGCGTGCGTGCTTGTGCGTTTTGGATTTTGATCATCTTTGATTTACTTGTACCTATAATATTGAATAAATTGAAACGCAGTCATAGTGATACAAATTTGTTACCCATCAGTAAATACTTTACCGGATCCTAATCAATGACCTACGACAATCGAAGGATGTGACTTTTTATTGATTTCACCTAATTAAATAAAATACAGTTATTAACCAAAAAAACTTAAACAGACAAAGCTCTTCGCAGAATATGAGCTCCAACGAAAAAAGGAACAGTTTTTCAAAAACCTTTGCAGAAATGTTTTTTCACTTGATACATACACATGTCACTCAGTGTGAAATCCTTTTCTTTTCGGTCTAGGCGATTTGGTTTGTGTTTTTTTTTTTTTGTTTTTTGGGGTTTTTTACAGTAAGGTTCAACCTGTACACCCGGGACCACCCGTAATGGTGGGGGTACGTTAAAGGGTAGTATATACAAATAGGAGGGAAAGATAATGGTTAACTCTAGACTTGAACAAGTTAAGATTGTAGTAATCGGGGAATTATCCTCTTTGGAATCGGTTCTACATAGCGGCGGTTCGCGGGAAGAAGCTGTTAAAGTGGATCTTACTTCTCACCGATGGAATACAGAGGGAATGTGGGTGATTTGCTACGATGTAAGTGACATGGCGGGTCCTAGCTGTGAAGGTTAGACCTGACGGAACGAAGGAATGTAATCCGTCCAAGCTGTTTTCATGGAAGTAGCGATAGTACATCCTTCCTGTGAGAGATAGGTTGGAGGGTGGTAAATAATTCTTCTCCAACAAGGACTTGGAGATGCTTTTGAAGTCTATCAAGATTGAAAAGTGAAGCACCTTCGTAATCGCCATTAAATTCATCCAACTCTTTTTGAATCCTCTGCACTGTCCTCAGATTAACAACCAAATACCCTGAAATGTTCATATTGAAGCTTCCGGCGTGAATGCCAAACAGTACAGCACGCCGTTTCCAAATTTCTGGACTAGCGAATTGCGTCATGATTCTCTTTTTCTAACAGATGGTGCTCAACTGACCCTACTATACAGTGCAGTGGACAAAATGAAAAACAAACAACACACATGCGTGAAATTAAAAATATAAAATAGCGACAATTTACCCATCGCACCCTGTAAATGTAAGTAGGCGCACCATTTTGTAGACTAAAGGACAAATGTGCCAGAATACAACAGCTGAGAAATGACCACCTGTTATTTTCTTTCAGCCGAACATTCTATATATAACGGGAAGAAATACAACTAACGCCAGTTACAGTTTTAATTCGAGAAACGCTGACGAAGTCCTTTTGAAGCACGAAACGTGTTACGTAGGGGTTTTTCTTCTTGTCATTTATTTCCTCATATATATATATATATATATATATATATATATATATATATATATATCTTCCATGCAAACAAAACAGACCATCATTGTTGCTATGTCCGTGTATTGTTTAATATATTGAAATGTAATTGTCATCTTTGATAATGGCTTATGTAAGCCGAAAGCTTAGATAGGATTAAAAAACATGTATCAATATGGTGATTTTCTTTCGTCTTTCAATGAAAATGTTATTAAGCTTATCAGACGATATGAAAGGAACTTACTTAAAATCAATAGACAAAACCTGTCTATATTATTTAATGAAACATGCATTAATGAAAACATGCTGCCTAAATACACACAATTTATATGTGTGTGTGTGTGTGCGTGCGTGTGTCTGTGTGCGTGACTTTTAACCTATATTTTTGGTTTATATAAGACAGTGAGGATCATCTCCACTTCAATTTTATATACACGCACATACATGTATATGTGTGTGTGTGCGTGTTTGAGAGAGAGAGTGAGAGAGAGAGTGGGGAGAAAACATCTGTTTAGAATTTTAAACTATGTAACATGAAGTACACCACTATTTGTGATATTTCTTTCTCCCCTGCTGCTGTCAAACGATGTCCGAATCGAAATAAAGGACACTTTTAAAGGTTTACGCCGTTTTCATTCTGCCCTTTTATTCCAGACTCCCCCTTTATTAGTTTTGAATGAATTTCCCCACATAAACTTTTATTCCAACCTCCTCTTCTATCCTGGACTTAAGAGTAGCTTCCGAACCATTGGTTTAAGAAAGACAGATTGTCTAGATTCTAAGAGTAAGCTAGTTGAAAGCTTTCAGAGAATATTGTTCCATTTTATTTCTTCGAATTTATACTTAGCTGTACTTATTTTTCCTCGGTTAACACATCTGGCTTAATCAACCATTGTTATCATATTACAAGTTATCGTCTGCTATTATTCTTTTGAATTTATTTCACACTACATTTGGTCACAGTAGTGAAAATATTCGTCTTTTATCACGTACAAAGCATTCATGTATATAAAGTTTCAATTAGACGGCGTAATAAAGTTGTAATATCATTGTTTCGTCACTGATTTGATTTAACAATTGTCTTATTGCTTTTCCAACACCAGTCAGTGGTACAATGCCAAGAAATCAATATTAAAAAAACAAACGTTACGTGCTAAAGATCTATCTATCAATGTTACCTACATGAGAGTAATGATATGACCATCGCTGAAACAAGAAGACATTTTTTTTTAAATTCATATATTTGCTCATTCGGGTCAAATTTTAACACGCCCTTCCTATAAACCGTATATACTCGAATATAATAAAAGTTTTATTATCAATTTAAAATTATCTGCGTATAGTGTGGCCCCTATTTTCGTGTAAAAAACACGAAAATAGGGGCCACACTATACGCAGATAATTTTTTTTTTTGAAGAGATTAAAAATCCTGCATTTACAGTGACCTGTTACACTATACACACGTATCTATTTTTCTGAAGGGTTTACAATTCATGCAAAAAGCAATCACAGGTCGTACTATACATGTGGCTTATACACGAGACTCAACTGTGATTTACGATATCAAACAATGCCTGTGTCTGAGCGATTTAAAGTGGGAGAAGACGTTGAACAGGGGATGGGAGTCAATCCCACTCTCTAAGCAAGAACAGCATGTACCACAAAAAGAAGAATCAGTCAACTTTATTGGATATTGTCAAGCCACAAATATTACAGCCGAGTTTTCCTTCTCCTAGTTGGATAATTTAACGAAATCTAAGGGGATCGACATTCCCAGTAGACCATTCCAGTTATTTCTACATCTCCACGCATGTGTTAAACGGCCATTGATGCCAGGAAATGATTCCCCCGGCCATTAACAGGTCTTGTTTCTAATTCCACATTACTCACCAGAAAAGTCTCATGGTGGAACTGGTTTAATTGCCGATAACCCGACCATGTGGTAGGAAGTACTGGCTTACATACCTGACGGCAAGATATATATATATATATATATATATATATGTGTGTGTGTGTGTGTGTGTGTGTGTGTTTGTGTGTGTGTGTTGTGTGCGCGCGCGCGCTTTAACTGTGTTTTTTAATTTCTTATTTCTTATTACTATAAACTTTATTTTTACTAGGTAGAAATAGAACCTTTTTCCATCAGGGAAACCGCTTCTGTAGCCAAACTGGCAGCGGCACGTTCCGGTTATAGAAGCGGTTTCCCTGACGGAAAAAGGAATACAGGTTCGATTCCTATCGAGAGTTTTTTTCTTTTTTCTGCCGAGATGGCCTCATGTGGTCACATTGTTAGCGGCACGTTTCGGTTATAGAAGCGGTGTCCCCGATGAAAAAAAAGGAATACAGGTTGTGTGTTATCTTGGCCGGGCAGCGCAGACTTAGAGACAGTAGAAACAGGGCGAGCAATAACTGAGCAGTGCTAAATTAAGAATCAGACAAGATATCCCGAGACATAAACAACAGAACGAGAACAATATAACCCCGTAAGATTAAATAAAGAGTTCACTTCGACAAGTACTCGATGCAGCTCGGAAGGTACAGCGGCCGAAATTTTGTAATAACAACAACAAAAATGGGGACAATAGTCCGCATGTAAATAATAACACCTCATCTGAGAAATTCAAAGATACAATGTTAAATCTTGTAAATATTCATTATTCTTTTTCTTTCCTTTTCGTTCAAATCTTTTTTTCCTTTATTTTGCTTCTAATGGTTTGTTTACTTTTCGATATTTATTTTCTGTTTTTATTATCATATTTGTTTTTATTTTTAAATCTCGTTCTTTTCATTTCCTTTTTATTTGTATTCAAAATTTAATTCTCCTTTTGTTTCATTTTTACATTTCTCTGCATTTTTACGTCCATCATTTTTTTACTTTTCTTACGTTCTTTCTTTCTTTCTTTCTTTCTTTCTTTCTTTCTTTCTTTCTTTCTTTCTTTCTTTCATTCATTCATTCATTCATCTCTCATTTTGTTAATGTTTTCTTTTCGGTTAATCATTTTCGCTTTGAGCCAGTTTCCAGGTCTTTTTTATCATTTCTGTAAAATTCAACAAATTCTCATGTAAAATTTTTAAAAATACTCATTCGGCGGCTGAACTAATGAAAGCCTTTCTGTTCATCGGCTTGTAACTTCTTTGAAGAACTGGCGTTTATTTTTTGTTTTTGTTTTTGTTTTTTTTTAGGGTTGAATAGGCTTGTTTTCACCACGAATCACCCATTTGCTAAGTGCTACAAACAAGCGCCTATTTTTATTTTCCCCCACTCACACTTCCTCACTCTTTCTCTCCCTCTATATATACATATAAAAATACACACACACAGATACACACATATTCTCCCGTACTCTTTCTCTCTTACGCTCTCTCTCTCTCTATATATATATATATAAACACACACACACACATATTCTCTCTCACTCACTCCCTTCCTCTCTCTCTCTCTCTCTCTCTCTCTCTCTATATATATATATATATATATATATATATATATATATATATATATGTGTGTGTGTGTGTGTGTGTGTGAAGACATTTAGCTGAATATTACTTGGCATAATTAAAAGCAACAAAAAAAAATGAAAGAGAAAAACAACCGGTTTCGCTCCCGTTCTTAAAGGTTTTTAATCTAAAGTAAAAAGTGTAAAATACAATAAATTCTTAAATTTACGAATGATTGATGAGAGGACAAAAAAGAGGAGTAGTACTTTAGATTAATTATAGCAAGCCCCAACAAACAATCACGCTGTTTACAGAGAGAAGGCTTGCGAGACTTGATATATATGTACTCTTAGGTGAAATAAAGAGTGACTGGGACAAAACAATAAACTAGGCAACACTAAATTCAGCCGCACACTTTCTGTTATTTATAAGGTGTTCACAAATTGAGGATCGATAGGTGTTTGGGGTCAGTTCATTCGAAATCAAAGTATGATTCCCGACATTGCTTGGCACGTGTTTTATTCTTGCATCTAGTCGTTCGGTTGTACTCCCTATATAGTTGACTCCGCAACCACATTTATATTTATATATAACAGAATTCATTTGATGAGGGAGGAAAACAGGAAGAATTTTCTCATTCATGCAAGTATGGCTAAAAAGATTATGAAATCTCATTGATTTTGTTCTTGTTATTGATTCTTTTTTCAATTCTGAGAGTATTTGTAAATTCCGGACGGAGATTGAACACACACACACAGGTAGATAGATATGGACCGTTTGAGATAGATAGATAGATAGATAGATAGATAGATAGATAGATAGATAGATAGATAGATGTGTTTGCGTATTTGTTGGACACCACCAATAATGGTAATGTCCACATACAAGGAGCATCTGTTGTGGAACGATTTTATTCCTGTTAAGTTAATTGAAGCAATTGAATTATTATATTGAAATATAGGTGACACCTAGCGTATAAATATATATGAAAGTACAGTATTCTTCTCGTTTGTAATGCATGTTCAAATTTTGTAAAAATAAAATTGCCTCAACAGAAGCCACTGTTAATCCTCAACTAGCAAGAAACCTCAATGTGTCTGACACAACAACAAATCAATGTCTTCATGGTGTATGGAGAGTATTTGAAACGTCAGCCAAAGAAACTGGTTATTATTGATTGATTAATTTGCTTTTTACAGCTTATCAACCTTTTGTATGTTATTCAAAACCAGAAAATATTTTTGGACTATAAAACTTTTTGGAGTTAATAATGATTTACTGATACAAGTCCTATTATTTAACACATTGCTGGGGTGGGGGAGAGGTGGATTCATACTTTTCCTAAGGGTATTTGCGTGCAAGTGAACACAAAGAATTTGACTGGAATTAGAAATCTGCCTTCCGATTTCCAATTGCCAACCGTTATCCATTACACCACCCGCACATTCCAGCTTACAGCACCTGGTATTCACCCATCTAAGAATTGAGCAGGCTCGACATTGCTTAACATCGGTGATCGGACAAGAACTGGTGTTTCAACGTGATCTGAACGTAAGCCAAAAGAACTGTGGAATTATGCGTTGCATAGAATTAAAAAAAAAGTTACAAAGCTTAAACAATTCAAAATTCTACAAATAAATATAAGGAATATTTTTATTAATGAAGCCTAAACACAATGCGTGAAGCTATCAAGATGAAGTGGGGAATTGAAACTAAGAAATGGGGATGACAAAACATTATTACAATATGAGCCGGACTGTTTACGAAATTCCAAATCGAATATGTCCATTTCATCCCTCTCACTTTCCCCCTCCTACCATTCTACCATAGTTTTCTTGTATCAACTCACCTACCCTTCCTAGCACAGTCACTTTACTTCTACTAGCGGTGTATGTAAAAAGTCAAGGTTCTTTTCTTTCTATTTCGGGTTTTGATACGGAAAACATTTGTCAAAAAAAACCGCATCAACAATGGAATATGAGCAGCCGTTCGAGATTCTTATTTGTTGTTTTTCAATGTTGGTTTAGCACTGTTGTTTTTGTTTCTTTTTTTTTTTGCCTGTTTTTCCTTTTTTTCCTTTTCTTACTTGTGGTTTTTCATTGTCTTGAAACAACGCTGCTCATTTTTTCCCGCTTTTTTTTTCAGGTTGCGTTTTAGTTTAATCTTTTTATTATTCTATTTTTTTCTTTTTTTTTTTTTTAGAAGAAATGCAAGGATTTATTCGTCCGAAAAAAATACTTCACAAAAAAGCACTTAATAATTTATGCACCGATCCAAAATATAGTGAATTTTGATCTTTTATTTCTTTTCCTCTCACTTTGTCTCAAATATTATGTACACATAGTTGTATTTCTTTTATCTGCATATGGACTTATTTATATGCATGTGTAGGCAGATAGATAGATAGATAGATAGATATGAATCCAATGAGATAGATATGAATATATATTAATTTTTAAGCAATTACTAAATCTTTTAAATCCGATATTATTTCTTGTTGCGATAAATGTTATATTTAGTGAGTGCACTAAAAGAAATGCGGGACGGACAAAAATACACGATTACATGAAAACTAATTGTTGCCCCTTTTATATCCACCTGCATAATGTTCTTCATATTTATTTGTCAGTTATCAAAGATTCTCATATATACATGTGTGTGTGTTTCAGTAGACCTCTCTGATTTCTGGAAATTCTTATATATGCATATGTATGTGTGTCTTTGAGTAAACATCCCTAGTTTTAAACTTTGAATTTGACACCTGCCGGCCTGAGAAATCGAAAGTCTTACTACAGAAAAGTGATCGAACCAGCGTTCCTTTTATCCATAGAAAACAAACTTTAAAACGTGCTTTGCAAACACTAGTTCGATTCCTGCCGAGAAGGACATTTGTTTTAATTTTAATACTGCAATTTAATAGATAAAGAAAAGTTCGAATAACTTGTTTTCCGATTTCAACATTTGCAGATACACCACTCGTCAGAGTCACGTATATCTATTGAACTATACACATACACATAGATAGATAGATAGATAGATAGATAGATAGATAGATATTATCTAAATAAAAGATATATGATCATATTTATATTTATCATTTATATTCTTTTTTTCTGCCCAAGCTTTATATTTGGTAGCTATCAATTTTTATAGTTCGTATTACAATAATTTTATCCGTTGACTCAATGTACCAATATCCCTATTAAACTTACTTTTAATACTTTAGTTTATTTTTCGATACCTACCTACCTACACACTATATTTTGAATTTATATGCCAATGCTATATTATATTTATAATAATCTTGAACTTTGAATCCACATACAATATAACGGTGTGGGTTCCTCATACCAAAACCTGGACGAAATCCATCTAAACATATGTCTACAAATCCTTTGTCTTTGAGATATTAAGTTTAACGAAGGTTTACGCTAGATGGTGCTGTGTTCCCATCCAGACTAGGTTACATTTGTCATTCGTGTACGTTGATGGTTTATTTCACAAACTGTCGATCAGTTGTTTGTCTCTTCAGTCTGGTTTAAGGATGAGACAACATTTAGAAGAGATGAAATTTTCACAACTAATATTTGGGAATGGATCGGAATCCCCATGGTACAATACAGGCTGGACACCAGCATCAGTTTACGATTAATGTGTTGGGCTGGATTTATAGGTGACTTTCTGGTAGGTCCATATGTTCTTTCAGCACGTTTTACAGGAGCTGTCTACAGGGATATGATTTCGACACACTTCTAGACCTGCTAGAGGATGTAGCCCTGCTAATACTGCTACCAACCAATTGCCGCAACACAAATATAAAAAGAAAATGGTAAAAAAATTGACTTTTTGCCAAGGACATGGCCAAGGTTTCCACTCCATTAGCAGTTGGTTCTCTCGCAGAGTAAAATAAAACATGGATAAGGAGAAATAACCAATAGTGACGAACGACAAACAACGGAGTAAGATTTAATAAGATTTAATTATTCATTAGAACAACATAGAAAATATGTCTGCATGTAAAGAATGTATGCTATATGAAAATCAAAAGAAACACTTAGCTTTTCTCACTTTTTTTTATATTTCTCTTTTCTTTTCTTTTTCTTCTCTTCCAGCTCAGTCCTTTATTTTTGTCTTCGCATTTACAGGAATGACTTTTAGATTCTGCTTTTTCTTTCTTTATTGTTCCAAATTTTGACCCTAAGTGATGATCGTTTCCCTTTCACGTCTTCAGCAATAAAAAAAATTCTCTTCGACGTCGTATTAAACGCGTTTCTATCTTCAGTTCGATAATTGGATGAATTACACATGCTCTTCTCCTCGGTGATTAACACATTGAGTAATTCACCATTGCATTTTGGTCTGGGATTATTTAATCTATCAAATATGTGTTCCCATGCGGCATAATGTGTGTGTGTGAGTTTGGACTAAGCTTCAGTTTCTTCATTATGCAAATTCCCTTTAGTTGACATTAACAAAAGAAATGGTGATGAGCGCTCAACCTCCTCAGTCCAACTGATTCATCAGATATTTTTCCCGCTCAACTTTTCATATTAGATAGCGTGATTCTGCACGTGTATAAGATGATATTTTTAGATCTCACCCGATTTTGTTTCTAGGGTTAGTTATTTATGGCTGCTCAGAAGTTCAACCGACTGCTCTTCAACAAGTTGATAGAGAAAGGGTGAGTGAATGTCACAATTAGAGAAAGAAAGAGAGATCGTTCACTATAGGTGTAAAGTATATTAAGGGTTAGATGGTTGATTGGGTTGCCTGGCTATGTAACAATACGAAGATGTGGCTCCAGCCCAGTTTAGTCACATTGTTCGCGATGCACTGGCTAACATCTACCATGAAAGATAGACACAGGTAGAGGATGACTGTTTCCACGCCCTGCATGTTCCCCCCCCCCGACCTCAATCCTTTGAAGTTTTATCTGTGGGACCACCTAAAACAATTGGTTTATGCAGCAGACATTAATAATGCAGAGACGCTTTATCATCGGGTTATAGCGGCCTGCGAAACGATTCCACACCATGTGGGAGAATTTGAAAGGGTCCTCCAGTTAATGATCCGACGGGTGCACGCGCGTGCAGAAGGAAGCGGAGTACATTTTGAACATTTGTTACAAGTTGCTGTGTTGGGGTACAAGGATGACCTTTTAAACATATGTTTATATATATTTTACTTTGTTTTGGTGACAGAAACCCGTCCCAAAATTTTGTAAAAGTATTTTTGATACACACACACACACATATATATATATATATATATATATATATATATATATATTGATGTGTCGTAACTAAGAAAGGTTGACACACATATAGAAAATAAGAAGTATTTTTTCTGGAGAATAATATGGTACACGGTTGAGAACACAGACTACTGTAATAAAGAGTTAATCTTTAACTCCTCTAGCTCAGTACGAGAGAGTGCTGTTTAAATAGTATTAGACCAGTCCATCTTGTGATGGTGTTCAGCTACCCCAGAGCATCCCCCTTTTTTGAATTGACTACTTCTTCTGGAAGTCGAACTTTTTCCTTTTGGGTTTTATCCCTATAGTCCCTGTGAATTTTCTTTTCCGTTTACTCGAACGTTTTTCCTTAACGGCTACTAAGTCATAAATAACCTTCATCGGTTCTTCCTTCTGGTTATTATATATCCTTCGAGTACCTTTTCTTCGTCTGGTTGTGATGTCTTTTAATTTTCGGATCTTTAATTATATACATTAATCTACCGATGCGTTTATCAATGTCACCAGCAATCCAAATATCTTTCCCGTTTCTATACTCTTCGAAAAAATCTTTTTCTCCTGGCATATAGGATTTTGTATCTGTTTTTATCCTTTATTGGGTTTTTATTTCCTTCTTATCGAACACAGATCTTATTTTTCTTGCGAACATTAATTCTGCAGGTGATAACCTTGAATTAGTACTTGGGTTTGGTGGCCCACGATATACCCTCAAAAATTGTAGGATATCGTCAATGGATTCGTTTCCGTCTGACTTTTTAAATGTTCGCTTGAAAGTGTCTACAAATATGTCTGCCTGTCCATTAGATCGTAGGTGATATGGTTCGGTAGTGATGTGTACAATCGAAAAAAAACTTATGAAAGTCTATGAACTCTTTTGTCGTGAATTGTGTGTCATTGTCTGGTACAATTGTATTTGGGAAAACGAATCCGGCAAAGAGTTCATGCAAAAATTTAATTGTACCACTGTATGTAAGATTTTTGCATTTCATCACTTCTGGCCATTTCGAGAAACTGTCAACCACAATTACATAATATTGTCCCTTCATTGGACGTGCAAAATCTATATGCAGCCTTGCTCAAGGTTTGCCTGTCTTTGACAAAGGGATAAGTTTCACTGGTGGCGCCTTTGCTGCCATTGCACAAACTCTGCATGATTTTACATTTTTTTCTCTATTTTTTGTCCATATTCGGCCAAAGAACATAACTTTTCATTAAAGCTTTCATTCCCGATATGCGGGATGACTGGTATGAAATTCTTTTAATGTTCATTTTTGTAGCGATTGTTGTATCATCACCCGTTCGCCGTACATCAAAATTCCATCACAGATAAAAAAAAAAAATCTATTCATCCTCATTCTTTTTGTACTGTTGGTCCATAGTTTCTTCTTCTCTGTGATATATTTGTTTATTTTTGCTTTGTTCCTTATCTCCTCCAACCTCACATGTAATACCCGTATGGTGTTTCACAGCAAACTTTTTATTTCCATTTCTATTCTTAGGGCTGCTATGACAGTTTCCTCCAATAGTTCACATAGTTTGGGGATTAACCTGGATAATCCATCTGCATGCCCTAACCTCTTTGACGGAAGGAACTCCATCTTAAAATTATAATTTAATAATATTGTCCCCCATCTCTGAACTCGATTTGCCGTATGTGTAGGAATCCCTTTTTTTGGAATAAAAAAACAAAACAGACAATAACGTTCTGTAGTCCGTTTGAAGCATAAAACTTCTTCCATGAATGAATCTATGGAACTTTTTATAGCAAAAATTATCCCTAAAGCCTCTTTTCCGATTTGGCTGTACCCTTTTTTTTCAGCTGGCATTAGGGTCCTCGATGCATGTGCAATCGCTTTGACTTGGCCGTTGCTTTCTTTGTGTAATAATACGGCTCCTAAGCCCAAATTACTAGCACCACTTGCTACCATAATATCCTTATTTGGATTATAATGCGCCAGACTTAAGTTTGACGTTAATATTGGTTTAATTTCCTCAAAAGCACTCAGTACTCCAGTTCCATTTAGAATCTTTTTTAATAATTTGTTTAGAGCAGCTCTTAACGCTCACATATTTGCTATAAATATACCTTAGTAATTTGCTACACCCAAGCATGCTTGTAATGCCGGCACATTTGTTCTTTATCGCACTCGACGTCGATTGTTCTGGTTTTCTTTCTTTTGTATCTATAACCTGTACCAAATATTCACATTTATCCAAACTAATTTCCAAGCCATATTGTTTTATTTTTTCAAAAACTTCTTTAACATGTTCGGCATATTGTTCTCAGCTTTCACTCTTAATTAAGATGTCGTCAAAATCATTAAATATTGTATCCATGATTTGCTGGAAACTGCCTGGTGCGATTTTTATCCCGAATTGCAGTCTGTTGAATCTATGCAGACCCTAATGCGTATTTATAGTTAAATACTTCGCACATTTTTCGTCGACAGGAATCTGGAGGTATGCCTCAGATAAATCAAGTTTTGAAAACACTTTGCCACCATTTCGCGAATATGTCTTCAGGACTTGGCAGAAAGTAATTATGTTTCCAAACCATCGTTCAATCCTGTAGAAATATGTGTATAGGCCCTCATTTTTTTATTTTTATATTTCACGTAAACGGCGGGGCTTGCCCACTCACTGTAGTCCATTTTGCTCGCCTATTTGCTCTAAGTGGTCTAATTCTTTACTAATGGAGGCTTCGGCTGCAAAAGGTACTTTTCTTTTCGGTTTAAAAATAGGCGTCACATTCCCTTTAAGTTTGAATGTCGCTTTAGCTTTTATGCACCTGCCAAGACCTTCAGGAAAAAATTTCAAGAAATTTTATCTTTAATTCTTTTTTAATTTTTCCACGCTGTTTGAATTAACATTGACACTATAGCAGAAGGTTATTTGAAAAAGTCGAATGACTGAATCCAATCCATACCCAACAGGTTATGGCTTCATTTCATAACGAATCCTATTATTTTTTTTACTAAAATTTTCTTGCAAAATTTAGTTTATTTCCTATAATATCATGAATAATTCTTTATATCGTCAATAAAGTTGGTCTGCCAATTTTTCCCCAAGTTCATTTATCAATGTCAGATCTGAACCGGTACCCAATTGGAATTTAATATTTTTATTGTTCATCTGTACATTTACAAACGTTTTCTTTGTTTTCCATTGTAATTGAGTTAACTGTATTTTTATTTTTTGAACCCTTTTTACTTTTGGGTTTTCTGCATTGCGAATGCTTATGTCCTTTTTGCCACTATTAAACCATTCTTTCCTTCTAAATAATAATGAATCTGGCAAAAATTTTCTTAGTTGTCTTTGTTTAACTTCCTGAATATTTGTCATGTCGCGTTCTTCTATCGTTGCAGTGTTGAAAATTTTCTATTTGTCCGCATTCTTCTGCGATTATTTGCAGACTGATTTTTGGATTTTGTTCTAATTTAGACAAAATTCTGGTTCTAATATCGCCATCTTCTGGAACCGTCAGTCCTTGTACAAAAATGAAACACTTAACATATCAGAAGTTCTTTTAATTTAAAATTTTCCCATTCTCTATTGCAAAAGTCGAATAATCATCCCTAATTTTTTGTAAGTTATAAACGTTGCCATCTTGTGTTGAATAGAGAACTTTTATCCCCAAAGATTTTTTTCAGAATTAAGACAGTTTCCATGAAAGATATTTCCCCAAGATTTCTCGGAAGTATGTACTTTGCATACTTTTCGTGTTCACTTGGATCAAATTTTCCGAGCAACTGATGTATGTTCTTTTCGTCCGACCATGCAGCGTAATCTTTTTGGAAAACCTCTTCATAACGACGAAAATACGCCGCAAAAGTTACATCCTCCCCTGTACTCTACTTCGCCAACTGAATTTATCCCCGAATCCTGAGAAAAAGAATTTGCATTGGCTTGCTCTTTTTCCTTTTCCAACACTAACAATTCGAACATTTTTTTTCAAACTGTTCGTTTTGTTTTTCAGAGTGTTCCTGGTTCGAACATCGTTGTTGCTGCTGGATTTTCATGAATTCCACCATTGCTTCTTTTAAATCCTCCATGTTTGCTTTACTGAACAAATAAAATTCTTATTTGTTTTTAACACGTCAAGCTGTTATGCAGACTTGGACTTAATCCGAGGTTGAGTCGTCGCCAACAATTTTTTGATATATGACTGTAAATTTCTTTAAACCCAAACTCTCGATCAGACTCGATATAGCGCCGCTCGCTTCTAATGCTCTGGATGGAGCGGCTTGGGAATAGTAGTCGTAGCCCGTGGGGTGGGGCACAGTCCTATGGGTAAAGGAACTCGGATGAGTGCCACCACGGAATATGTGAGTGAGCGGCGCTATATCGAGTCTGGTTTGATACTTCTTCGTCACCGAGGCTCGTTAGAACAGTTGGTTTGACGTTTGCATGATAACGTAACTGTCAGAGTTTCAATTCTCGGTAGTGGAGAGATGAGTCTGATGAGACCCAAATATAGGACGCATTCTGTTGAGGTTTCTTCTAGACTCAATGATTTACTTAACTATATATATATATATATAGTGAGAGAGAGATATGGAAGGCTCAATTTAAATAGGTTAACATAGACTAATTTTTCAGATGCCCTATATATTATCATGCAGCCATTTGACTTGATATTCTTTCAATGTTGGAGCAGAAATAAGAAAAACTATGCCAAACTCTCACCCGCTTTGCAAAGTTACGATTTTGGTTCTCACCAGTCGAGGTGCAACCGAAACAAGGTTCCATCTTTGTATTGAGTAGTAATTTCTTTTCTGTGTGTGTATATATATATATATATATATATATATATATATATATATATATATATATATATATATATATATATATTTAATATATATATATATATAAATAAGAGGACTTTTAATGATGAATTACTGGAGTTTAACGCGTTTAAAGACGAGAGGATATTTGCAAACAAATTTCATGGTATTAAAATTAGATCAACAATAATTAATAGATAAAGAACAGTTTGAATAATTTTTCTTCCAACATTTACTGATACACCGTTCGTCAGAGTCACGCATATCTATTGAACTATGCACATACACATAGATAGATAGATAGATAGATAGATAGATAGATAGATAGGCCTAGTCTAGCCTAGACTAACCTAGCCTAACTAAAACTAACCTAAAATGAAAATCAAACCTATACTGGGCATTGAGTCATTTATTCTATCACTGTCATCTGTGTGCCTTTGTAGTTCATTATTCTATTATTCATTATTTTATTATTATACAATTGAGAGCTTTTGCTTTCAATAGAAAGTCTTAGTAAAGAAAATGCACTTCTTGGTAGGAATCGAAACATTATCCAGGGAAAATCAACTTTAAAATAAGCCTATCAAATGCTAGTTCGATTCCTGACGATATTCACATTTGCTTTAATTCTAACTATATATATATATATATATATATATATATATATATATATATATATATATATATATGGGGGGTGCTAAAAGTTCTCATCTCCATATGTTAATGATTTTATGGAAAATTGTAACCGACTTTTGTCATATACCCCCACATATTTCCCCCCTTTTTATGTATGAAATAATTTGTCAATAAAAAGTTGTCTGAAGCGTTTCCTTCTCGAATGAAACTTGTCACTCTTAACTTTTTTCATCTTTTTACATTTGTCAATTATGTCTCTCTCTCTCTCTTTATCTATCTATCTATCTATTTATCTATCTCTTTCTATTTCTCTCTATCTATCTGTCTCTCTCTATCTCTATATCCGTCTCTCATTCTTTCTCTCTCTTTCTCTAAAAATATCAATGTATTTGATTTTACTAAAATGCTATAAGTACTCGAGAATTTCAATATTATCTGCGATCATTCAAGATTAATGCAAGTTGTTATATTCACGATGACACGGTGCAATGACGAGATACAGAGCGAAATGCATTGTGATACTGAAAATAAAGCATGTAAAAGTTATGAGCCCACTCGACCCCACTCAAAATTAACATCATGTCGTTTAAATTTGTAACGTGAAATGATCAAATACAGATTGCATGAATAAGGAGCCTTGAAATTGTCTTTTTAGTTTCAAAATGAAAAAGTGAGTCTGGAGAAGAGGATGAAAATTATTGAAACGTTACAAAGAATGAGACAACATGAGATCGTTAAAGAGACTGGAATATCAAGTAATACCGTCCAAGACACCCAGAAGAAGCATTCTGGATATGAAAAAGATTTGTCGAACTTGGAAATTAGACAAAAGAGATCAAAGAAAACTTGTGTGGTTATCAGTATCAACCCCATAACTAACAGCTCTTTAAGTAATGGATAGAAGCGGCATTACTATTGAAGTGTCATCCATACATTACGAAAGATACAGAGTCAAACTAATCTAAATGGATGCATTGCAGCAAAAATCCATCATTAACCAAAAGACATCAAATAAGGCGAAAACACTAAGCAAAACAGCATCTGCTGTAGGACAATGAAAAATAGACAAACGTGATATATAGTGAAAAAAAAATAGAACTGAATTCAAATGCAAGAGAGTATGACTGAAGACGAATTGGTACAAAAAATACAACAAAGCAGTAAAATTAGTTGGTTGGCGTTTAATGGTTTGGGGCAACATCAAAAGCAACGGTAAAAGAAAGTTGATAAAAATCGATGGAATGCTGAACAGCGAAAAATATATAACTTTTCTCAAGTCCCACCTATTACCAGATATTGCGGGGGGGAATATTCCGGCATGATGGATGACCTTACCATACATCGCATCTAAAATAATGCTTCTTATTTCTGAAGACATTGCCAATGTTACAAGAATGGTCTTCCTAAAGATCTGACTTTAACATAATCGAACCTGTGTGAATAGAGTTCAAAAATCGGGTGTATAACAGAAAGCCAAAAGAATTTATAAATCATTAGTAGGCACTTCGAAGTGATGTAACGGGTTAGCAAACTTAACTCGCAAATCAGTTACGACTGAGTAGAGAGTTCAATTCCCACTGGGTGCTCCATAAATTCAACCTTATGCCACATCTAAGCTACGCTTAATACAAGAGCTTTGAGTTTACTGTCAAGAAAAAATTACGATAAAAAATTTGTTGTTGCATTCATCGATTCCACATCGAATTGAGACTGTAGTTCATATCAATGGGAACCATTCTACATGCTGGTTACGACTTATATGAATAAATTTATTTTGTTGAATTATTGTTTTTATTCCATCATTAAAAGCAGTTTATTCTTCGTTTCCTGTAGAAGTTCATAATTTTTGCAGGTCTTATTTTCATTTTCCCGAGTCATTCAGTTATCTGAATCTCTCCCCATTGTTCATGTGAATGCGTCAGTTTGTATTACAGTATGGAAACACCACAGATACTAAACCCCTGAAGAGTACACTGCCGAATTTTTCAATCTTTTTGGTAAAAAAGAAGCAATTTTTTTACGAGGTGGTTTATCTCTTCTAATGTCCAATCTTAGAATCAACTTTTATTCGTGAATTAATGCATTTAAACATTGTTTAAATCAGTCAAAAATAAGAAGTCAGAACATATTTATATTTCTGCTGTCGAGTTATAAGATTATTATGCTTTTACGGTACAACTTTAACGGTTTGGATTCCAAGAAATCTTTGAATGCAGTTTCTGTATATTCTTTGTAACGGTATGTCTTTTGGATTAAAAAATGTCAAGATGCTTGAAAAATGGTATGTGAGTCGGTGAGTGAGAGGAATCTGGTGGATGTAGCAAAGTCTGACGGTGAGATTCTAACCTGTCATTCTTGTAATGTGAACATTGTGAAGCAGAAATGGACCCCGTCAATCAACCAGTACCGGTCGCATTTTATTTAACTGAATATGCATTTCATCTAGTTGATGTCAGTGAAGCTCTGGTTAGTTTCCATAAATCTCCAATAAATAACGCCAATGGTAGGGGAATTACTCGACAGTCGCCATAATCTTCTGTTGATGTAATTTCAATTTTGGAAAGTGCTTGGGACCTTCATCATGATCAAGCCATTGAAACAATCTTTTAAGATTGCTATAAGGAATTCATTTCACATCACAAGTTACTATTCGGTCAAGAAATAGCTCATTCTAATTTCGCAGATGCAACATCAAACACACTTTAAAACGTTGAACACTTTCACTGAGTTCACGTAGAACCCATTTATCGAGTTTTATCCCCTTACCAAGGTTTCTTCTAAAATCAGACATTATTTTCCGAACAATTTAATAGTATATAAAATACAATGCATGGATATTTTTGTTATTGCAAATTTATGTTTCTATGCTAATGTGTATCTTTCCAAATCTATTGTTGTTTATCTGAGCCAAACTGCTCGTAACTATCAATCTAAAGACAGTTTCAGATAGATAGAAACATAGATAGATAGATAGATAGATAGATAGATAGATAGATAGATAGATAGATATGCCTCTAATATGAAATAACCGCAGTATCGATCTATGTTCTTAACTATTTTATCGATATAAAATAGTTCAGTTATATCTCGTTGCTAGTATGTGTCTATATTACCCAATCAGTCCGCCACCCTTTGTTCATCGGTTAAATTATTCCAAACACAGTTTATTAATTAACTTCAATTACACAACAAACACACACACACATTTTATTGGTCATTTAATGCCGAAATTTAATTTTCTTGGCAGCTTTCGTTATTTTTTTTTTTTTTTCAAAAATATATTGCTGGTAATTTTTTAGTATGAAAATGTATTTTTATACTTTCATAGTGTTGACTCCAGTTTTGGGGTTAACTATTTGCCGCAAGTTGGAACCCTAACAGGTGCTACTACCATGGGTCAGGATGAACCTGGGAACAACAGCAATTAAGAGGTGGTTTCACGCTCCTCAAAACCTTCCGATCAGAGGCCCCGCTGCCGGATGTAGTTTATCGTCATAACCAGGACACATGTAAATGTTGACCTGGGTGTCTCATTGTAGAATCTCGCAGTCTATGACACGTGTTTAAAGTGAATTCTATACTCATTTGATGGTTTCCAATCAGCTTCGTCTACGTAATTTTACTCACAGTGGTTGGGTTAACCCGTGGTTTGGTTTTCAGATACTTTTCAATGATGCCGCATATTGGTGTCGTTTTGCTAGGACATTATTATCAAGAATTCACTTCCTTGATTAATCAACAATTGTGAGATTTGAACTTTGCCCTCATGATCAGAACATGATTTAACCATTCGTGTGTACCTACATAGTTGGCATCCTCAAAGTCTGTCTTTGTATTTCTCTTAGTATCAATATATGGCAGATAGTTATGCTGCAATTAATCATTTACATTAATTGTTCCTTTAGAATCAACTCAGTCGATCGGTGTATTAGCCACATTTCTTTCTTTTTTTGTTTTGTTTTGTTGTGTATCATTTTCTGAAAAAAAAATGATAGTTGTCTTCCTTACTAACTGTAAACCTGAAGAATGCTATCAATAGATAGGTCGAAATGTTGTAATAACGAAAAGACTGGGTTCAACTCGTGGAATAATAATGACTCTTCTGTCAAGTCTAGAAGGAAACACACTTCATTTTTCTTCTCCTTCATCTACAAAATCTATATAGGGAAAGTCAGAGAAAGGGAGATAATAATGATAAAAATGGTGATAAACACGCATGCGCTCACTTCCAAAATTAGATATCATCGCCAGAACTTTTATATCCTTACTGTTCACAGATGGGTGAAAAAGAATGATGTATTATAGAATGGGTATTGCATAAATCATAATGCAAACAAACAAAAAATATCAAGGAAAAAATGGAATGATGAAATCGATCAAAAGACAAAATCTACTAAAGAAACAAAAAATATAAAAGAAAGAAAGAATGGAGAGAATGGGAAAATCGGAAAAGAAAAGAAAATGACAAAATTATAAAAAATAAATAAAAAGGAACGAAGTAAAAATGGTGGACAAGAAACCTTATTGAATAAAACAAAATCAGTAGAATATACAAAGACATCAAAGAATGACACATAAAAGAACAAAATAATGATCAAGGGGACCATTTTTAGAAACTTCATCAAACCCTTCACACATGCATCACTCCCCGAGAAAAGCCATCACTGCTATAACAACAACAACCACCTCTACAACGACGACTATAATTACTGAAAATACTTCAATATTTAATTCGTTGTCACCATGGTAACAAATAGGCTAGGCAGCCACCACAATTACTTGCCAGGCGGGAACTGTGTTATAACCGCATTGCACTTATTGACCAATGCGATCTGAGATAAATGGTGTCAGTGGACGAACCACATCCGAAAAGTTCCCTTTTGTCACGCCTTATATTTTTTCAAATGTCCCCTTATAAATCTGAACAGGACACAAAGTTACTCAGATGCGCAGATAAAATGTAAATCAGCATGTGCAACTTTATACAGTGGTAAGTGTTCTTCAGAGTAAACTTGAATAGGTTGTATTCCATTGTTTTTATGCTTGAGTTATTTTCATTGAAATCTATAACATCAGAGCAAACTAAATACGATAAAAATAGAAAAGTAGAACATCGCATGCAACAAGTATATATTCTTAAAACATAGGTATTGTTATTGTTAACAATCGGCGAACGTATACACACGCACACACACACACGTGTGTGCGTGCGCGTGTGTGTGTGTGTGTGTGTGTGTGTGTGTGTGTGTGTGTGTGTGTGTGTGAACAATGAGGCCAGCACCGAGCGGCGAAAGTTTGTTTCCTGCTTGATTTCAATTTTCAGGCCATGAAGTTTGGGTTCAAGCATGAAGCAAAATGTGACCACTAGATGTTAATCTCTTTGTCTATATATATATATATATATATATATATATATATATATATATATATATATATATATATATATATATATATATATAATGGATAACGGCTTGGATTGAGGAATCGGAGAGCCGAGTTCGAATTCCAGTCGAATCCATTACATTCACTTAGAGGCTAATAACCTTGGAAAAGGTATGAATCCTCTTCTTCTCCCCCTCCCCCAGCTATGGGCAAATAGCAGGTAAGTCTATAGTTCTATAGCTTTGGATGGCAACTAGTCTAGAACAACTGAATTCAAAACCTGCGGAGGGTCGTTTAGGGATCTTGTGGCTAGTAATGTACACCAGATCTCTCTATGCAGCTCTTCAAAAAGTGTTTATATATATATATATATATATATATATATATATAGATAGATAGAGAGAGAGAGAGAGAGAGAGAGAGAGAGAGTCAGACAGACAGACATACAGACAGACAAAGAGAGAGAGAGAGAGAGAGAGAGAAAGATATAGATATATAATGTAAGTTTTCTCTCCGTGTAAATAATCCGAGCTGCATATTCTTAGTGCTCTTAGATAGAATCCGATGATTATGCCGGATTTTATTGTTATGATGATAATAGGAATTTACTAGGTCGTTTTGTTGGTTCTTCCATTTCGTATGTAAATTCCATTGTGTGTCAGTAATCCAAATTTGTTTTCGGACAGTCGTAGAAGAATTTGGATTACTACCACACAGAAAAGATAATGGTTAAACATAAGAAAACATAAGGAAAAAATTAATTCCTTTAAATAATATGTGGAAATAACCATTCTTCGCCTGATGAAGGTCACAAGACTCGAAACCCGTGTAGCAAAAAATATGAAAATAAAGTACAATATATATTTTTAAAAATCCACATTATCAATAAAAAGTTTTCGTCTTTTCTCTTTAAAATATACAATTTTTTTCTCGTTGGAGCAATTTTAATCCCTATAATCATATATATATGATGCTGCTCTGAGCCACTACGAATGAGAAAACGTTCGGAAATTAGTCTAATAATGGCCAAGTGATTTTAATTTCTCTCTTATAAAAAAAAATGTCACAAAAATAGAAAATAATATTATATTTGCTCTCACCTCAGCTTCATAGGCGGCAATCCCTTTTATTGTCAAGTATACACTGATGATGATGATGATATTGATGATGATGATGATGATGATGATGATGATGAATAAGCAGAATAGGTTGTTTTTATGAATCTGGTCTCGCTGTCCTTGTCTCTCTTATACAACAGACAGCTAAAGAGTTCTCGCTTCTTTGATCGACATACGGTTCGTGCCATAAGAAAAAGATAGCTCATAATTGATGTGGAATTAAGTAAACAGAAACCAAAAAAGATTGTCGTGTAGTTTAGACTGATCAACAATTCATTTTCTTCGACCAGTCGTGGCTTCAATAGTTTTACATTAATATTTATCTTAAGTAAAGATAATAGATTTCAGTGTGTACAAATTTCAGAATCCACTGATTACTGTCTGTTAACAGACAGATTCCGTCGCGTAAGTTCGTACTACAGATCGTCCATGAAAACCCGTAGACGTAAGGATTTATAAAATTCTCTCGGTAGAAGAACACACGTTAAAGAATAAAAGGAACATACACTTGTGAATAAAATAAAGGCTTTTATTCAAGAGGTTCAAGAAAAGATGTGGTCATCCGAAAAAAAGGGTAGATCAAACTTGACAGTAAGGAAATGCATGTCATCATGAAATTCAGACTTTTCAGATAATCAAAATTTGGCATCTTCTCATGATGTCAAAGGTTACAAAAATCTGTATTATATATTGGCTCCTGAAATATCAATTTCAGTTGAGCTCTCTGGGGACGAGGTGCGGGTTGGTAAACAGTGACTATTATAGCTATATAAGATGCGAATTGAGTCACTGTCGGTCACTGGGCGTGTTTGTAAAAATAAATACGCTAAAAAATTCACTTACGTCCCTACGCCGACGGCTTAATGGTTAGAATCTCCGACTGACACCAATTCAGTCGGGTTTCGATCCTGGCTAGAGGCAACCGGATGTCTAGCCACACTGATGAGCTGCGAAACAGTCTGTCTGTGGATGACGTTATATATATATATATATATGTATGTGTGTGTGTGTGTGCGCAGACTTGTGCGTCCTTAAAATGTGTAAATATTATTAATGACACCATTTCACGATATTAAAATGCATTAATGGACATATAAAATTTTTGCACATATTTGTGATACTTTGTAGATAGATAGAGAGATAGATAGATTTTGTTTTCTAATTTGTTTTTTTTTTTTACTTTGGAAAATGTATTCCTACCTAATAATTTTTCGTAATATAATGAACAAAATAAAACCATATAACTATCAATAATCTTCACCATACCTCCGCACCACCTGATATGTGTCCTCTTTCTTCACATCAACGGACATTATATTTGGCAACCTGAAAGGCTATCAAATCTAATAGACACATGAAGAGTTAAATGGTGTAAGAAAAAGACGAAAACGCAGAAATTATTTCGAAAGAATCATTGTATAAGTTTAAGAAGTTACATTGATAAATTCTTCTTCTTCTTCTTCTTCTTCTTCTTCTTCTTCTTCTTCTTCTTCTTCTTCTTCTTCTACGACTAC